ATAATTCTTCGCACTAAACACGGGTCTCTTCTAATTAAAGAAAGAGCTAAACTATTTCTATAATTTGTAATGGTAAACAAGAACACGTGACATAAAGTAGTAACCGACGTTTATAGACATAAGTAGCACAGTGGAGATCACAATATATACCCACGGTATCCCTAATATGTTGCTATTCCTGAGAACTAAGGTGGTATGCTCCGAAATCTGTAACTTTAAACAGTAAGGTACATAGCCTTGCAAGCACAGCTGGTGTGCAGCCTAAACGGCAGTGGGACAGAAGTATCTGAACAGATGTCTACAAAATTTCCCTACACCATACTGCAAATCAAGTACCTTTATATATATTGAGTTTTTATTATTTAAATAGCTGTAATGGTTTTTCAATTAATCGCTACTTGAAACAGTACTCCTGAGGATGAAAATATTTGATGACTGATGATATGTTGCATTATATTCTTACTTTGCCATTGTATAGAAAAAAAATATTATTAACTATAGAACAATGCAAAATATCGTTAATAATATACACGTGTAAGACTTTTTTAGATCCAACAACAAGCACCTTAAACCGGTGGTATTGCAATCGTCCATGGACTACAATAACTCGTCAGACGAGCAATATGGTTGTTTTTTTTTAATGGATGATAATGGAATGGCAACCCCACCCGCGCCATCGGCATACACCGGCGGGGCACCAGTGAAGGATGATAGGTGAGGAGATGAAGTAAGTCAGTTGGCCCATCGTGACAAATTCAACAAGAATTGTTCACGACGGCTTCCAGAGGGAACCACGCGGAGGTCGACCTAACAAGGCATATTGTTAGCAATGGGGCTGTCAAACTCCATTACTAACAATCCCTTTCCCCCTGCAATATGGTTGTTTGCCACTATTATGCTTAAAATATGTATCTGAAACTATGTGCATATGCATTGACATGTGATCCCTGCATACAATGGGCTATCCCTTCCTTTCCCGTGGGTGTGGTAAGAGGCGACTAAGTATATTTAATGGCGAAGGAGGCAGTAGCGTCCCTTAACATCGCCAAAGTCTAACTGCGGATGCTAGCCTACCTGCCAAGTGTAGTAAATTATTTGTAAGACACTCTCTTATGGGGGAGGCCTATGTTCAGCAGTGGACAGTTAAAGCCTAATATGATGATGTCTTTAAAAGAAGAAAATATGGAACATTTTTTAAAGTCAAATGTCGCAAGAATACAATTACGAGTAAGTACCTTCTACATATTACATATTTATGAAATGAGTATAATTTGAGTATATGTTTCCCATATAAAGTGTTGAACTTGCGACCTATCACGTTTCGTAGCTAGCAGTGACTTCTTCGATAAATATCACTGGCATTATGGTAGAAATTGAATGAAAGTTAGGTACTCGATTTATAAAAAAAATATAATATGATATTATTAATATATATATATATATATATATATATATATATATATATAATATATAACAAAAAGTTGTTAATGTAATATATAATATAACAAAAATATACAATGTATAACTTCTAAATAAAATTACTACAATTTAAAATTACTCAATTATTCAAAACTGAATGAAAGAAAATTTCCATTATTTAATTTCATTTCAATACCTAACGTCCTTTTTTAATATATCGAAACATATATTTAAGTATGTCTGTCGATAATCCATTACCTACAAGTACAAGATCTATTTATTTTAATAATACATCCACACTAATAATGTAAAGAAAGTAACTCTGTTTATCTGTTGCCTTTTCACGCCTAAACCACTAAATCAATTTTAATACATTTTAGTATGGAGATAGGTTGGACCTTAGAAAAGAACATAGGCTCTTTTTTGTCATGAAAATACGACTTGAATAGGATGAAATTTGTGTGGGGAATTAATCATTTTTCAAATAAGCAATATAAAAATCAGTAAAGTAATACTGAGTTTTATATCCCATGTATGTATAGCATGTACATATGTAGTAATGTCCGTTGTAATTACCGTATAGTCTTGACATAGAATGGGCCACCCCTTCCTTTACCGTGCATGTAGGGGAGAAAAGGATTGTTAGCAATAGAGTTTAACAGCCCCATTGCTAGCAATATGCCCTATTAGGTCGACCTCTACGTGGCTTCCCCTGGAAACTATCGTGAACATTTCTTGTTGAATTCGTCACGATGGGCTAACTGACCTGATTCATACTCACCTATCATCCTTCACTGGTGCCCCGTCGGCGTATACCGATAGCGCGGGTGGGGTTACCATACCATTATCACCCATAAAAAACTCTTACCGTGGATGTCGTTAGAGGCGACTAAAAGAACTTAATGTTCGAGGGATTGACTGCAGCGTAAGCGTACTTAAAACATCACCAAAGTCTAATTGCCGTTGCTAACCAGCCTGCCAAGCGTGGCTACTATTGACACAACCCCTCTTTATTAGGAAGCCCTATATTTAGGAATGGACAGTTAATTGCTAATATGTGGGAGTGGTAATGTCCAGAGGTATTATGAACAATATGGCATGCTAGCACGAGAGAGATCGCTTGCTATTAATTATCGTCCATTAAAAGAAAAAGAAAAGAATACCTCTGATCACCCCATTATGTATTATAGTCGTGAGCATATTTTTTAATTGTTGCAATTGCTTTTAATGATAACCGCTGAAATTTTCTAACCCACATAGATCTATCTTTAAAGTTAATTGGTACGGCGCACTATAAAAATCTCTAAGGTATTTCAGCTTTTCCGAATTCCCATAAACATTAACCAAGAAGAAAGCAAAAGTAAATCTCATGATTCCATAGATACAATAATTCTGGGCCGTGCGAATATATTATTCTATCGAGGTTGAATAATTAGGCTTTTTCTTTGCTTATACTTGCTAATTGCCTCTTGGCGGTTTTATTTGTTGTTTCTTTTACTTTCGACCTATTTGATTTATTATCGGATAACTAGTCATAACTTTATGTTTAATTTACAAAAATAATGATCGCCTTATTAATCTGTGAAAATTTTAAATTTGTAAATAAAAAACTTCAGAAATACAGACAGGTAAATTAATAAGACTAATGAAAATAAAAGGTAAAAATAGTGAATGATTAAATCGAAACAAAAACGAGTTTTAATAAAAATTCTATTGTTTTACGACTATACAATAATTAAAAAAAAAAAGAATGATAATATTATTTGAAAAATAGTAAACTAAAATTTTCATTTCATCACCTTGCTTTCCCATGGGTGTCGTAAGAGGTAACAAAGGAAATGTAATGTTCAAAGGATGTGCGACAGCATTTCTCTTAAAACATTGCCAAAGTCTAAATGCGGTTGCCAACTCGCCTGCCAAGCGTGACAACTACTAATAAAATCCCCCAACCCAATAAGGGGAGACCTACATGTATTTTATACAACTTAGAATGGCAAACAAGCTGACGACCCACCTGATGGAAAGTGGTAACCGTCGCCTATAGACATGAGCAGTCCATGGACATAACAAGCGTTTCGACAACTTGCCATTGAGGACTCAGATAAAAATTCACGTCCCAACCCACATAAAACACAACTGGGTTGAAACACGAATGGGACAGAGATACCTACATATATATTCATACATATAATGGACATATAAATCAATTTGTGATAAGTTTAATCATTCAAACTAAAAATAGAAAATAGTTAAAATGGAAACGAAGTAGAGCTTCAGTTTGCTGACAGCAACGTTTTAATATTCGTTTTTAATTATTTAATTTTGTTTTGTCGTAATGTTTTATAATTACCTATTTATTTCGGTATTAATCGCGTGTTTAACTCTAATCTCTGTGTTAGATGTCAAAAGTTAAACAACTTTTGGCTATGCTCGATTCTCATAATGAAAACCGCAACCGAAATTATTCTTATCTTCTTAATGATGTCAACTCTAAGTCATTATATTGTAATATCATTGAGTCTTATTCGTTTTAAATATTTAATATATAATTTATTTATTTATATTTTGTTGTACACAAAAATTAATTATTAGTTAATAGTTATAGACTATATTAAATGAAAATATACAACAGGCAAGTTTAACTCTGTAAGAGTTCTCGTCCAGCAAACCTTGATAGGAAAGGATTTTATCTTATTATTATAAGAAAATTAAGACGCCATGTAGTTCTGGTATAGAGAAGGCCACCCTTTCCTTTCCCATGGGTGTTGTAAGAGGCGACTAAGGCAGATGGTCGAGGGATGGGCAGCAGCGATCCTCTTAATATATCACCAAAGCCTAATTCGCTTGCCAAGTATGACCCTACTAACAAAACTCTCCCTTATGGGAGAGGACTATGTTCAGCAGTGGACAGTTAATGGCTGGTATGATGATAAGAAAGTTGTAACTAGACGTTGTCTATAGGAAGTGGGAAATATGGAAGAAATTAAAAAAATATAAGGGGTCGCAAGAATGCCGATAGAGGTTAAAACAATATTTTTTTATAAATTTTCTCTGTATATTTGTTTTGGCATTACACTAAAACTACTACACTAAATTGGATGCATTTTTCATAGTTACGTTTCTGAAAGTTGAACGTTAATTTAAATGTAGTGTAAATTTAATGATATTTTCTAAGATTATTTACAAGCGACATTTAAAAGATGACGGTTCCTAATCCATCTGTTTTTCTTATAGCTGTGTTACGCGAATAAATACCCATTGCTGAATTCTTTTTTCAATGATAAATTAAATTAAAGAACAGCAAATGCTGCTTCTGTAGAGAATTGTATTTAAAACTACTAATTATAAACTAGTTCTATCTATTACTACTCGTTTTTCATTAGTGGTGTTTCTGAAAGTACGTTTAACCTATTCTAGTGATCACGAAGCAATCGTGCTATATTATACCATTATATTTGACAATTAGCAATTGATCACAAAGCCATCACTTACACACAATCACAAAATCACAAAGACAATAAATAGTCAATTACAGAGACATCGTCATCATTCGTATGTCATAAACCCTCTTAATCATACTACCGGTAAACGCGATACTACCAGCAAACTCGCCGTTCATTCATAAGTTGACTAGTGTACTTACGGCTTAGAACGGCGTACCCCCGATGTGAACTGCACAATTCTTTTTGTAGTCACTACATAGCCTATAAATACGCGTAGCGTTTGCATGTACATCACCAGTCTTTTTTATCTAACCGTCCCGTCAACATCAGTCAAAGTTCACAATGTATTTAAAAGTGTTATTATTCTCTGTTGCTTGTACTGTAGTACAATCGGCTACGTCGAGGGAGGATATAGGCATGAGATACATCACAAGGATATACGAGGATTGCGTTCATTCGGATGGAGTTGTCCCTTGCTTGAAGAAGAAGGCCATACTGTTCTTCGATAGGGCTGCAAGATTGGATGCGATACCGTTAATCGATGGTGTGGATATTGTTAAGAGTTCAGAACCGGAGACAGTTTCAATCAGTGAAAACGACATTGAGTCGAATCTGCCAAGAAATTTGAACGACAAGAACGAAGCTTTGACTGATATGCTTTGGGACAGGATCGCGTCTTTTGCTAACTCTAGGACTATCCAATTGTCATTACCAAAGATCACTGGACAGGACCTCAATAGAGGAGTTGAAGAAGGTAAGCCAATGTCATTGGGTATCATTCTTACACGATGATCACATCGTAATTTATACTGCATAAGACTTTATAATATGTGAAACACTTTGAATACATTAATGCGTTCATTTACCTATAGATACTGATCACAATGCAGTGCAGATGCTTGAAATTTTATTAATTGCATGCATTATTCATAATTGCAATACAACGTAATTGTTTATCATTGCCTATAAGATATTTAAATTATTATGTCCTTTTTATACATACGAGTATAAATTACATTGTTTGCTTTTGAGGTATTATAATGTATTGAAATCAAAGACAATTTAAATTAATAATAAATAACCTACAGGAAAAAAACATAGAAATTAGAGATATGTGGATTTTGAGTATATTATGTAACCTGACCTGTCTGAAACCATGATACCTGAATTCATAGATATTCCTAAAAAGTTTTGTAATTGTAAGTGTTTAAGTTGTATGGATTATGCAGAAAAATTCAAATTCCTACATCATAACGAAATATCTGTAGTTAGGTTCATCAGGTTACTTATTACATATTATCCAATAGTTTTTATTCAAGAAATGATCAAAATCTGTTTGCTGTTATTAATCAAAAGATTTGTACTGACTTTAATTAAGAAAATTACAAATGAACATAACTATTTTGTCAAACTTTTTCATATTTTAAATTATTTATAATAATATAACATAATATATAAGTTCTTATAAATACCAAAGAAATATCTGAAAAAGGCATTTTTCTCTTTGATATATTTCAATATTAATGATGTCTCCCGTGAACCTAAATCTCCAATATAGACGCAGAGAGTAGTAATTTACCTGTTTTTAAGTGCCTTCAAAACTATAAGATTGAAAATAGATTTATATGATATTTTTTATATTGAAAAGACCAACAAGGAAGTAAAAGCACTTCCTTGTTGATCCTGTTGGATAAAATTAATTTTTAACATACATCAATGTATTAGTTTATTCTTAAATTCTTAAAAACGTAAATATTCTTATAAAAACTTATCAAAATAAATGAGCATTATAGATATATGAGACAGAGACAATGAGCATACGAGAAATCATATTATATAAAGATTTCTGTTTATCGAAATATTTTATTAAAAAAAAATGGGCGTAGCAAAATCATAAAAAGCTATTTTTTTAATGTGATAGTTTACATACACCATGTTTATTTTATCTTCTTAGTCTATAGCATTCTTAAATAAGGCAAATATAATGAAATCCGATGAATTGCAATCATTTAGGGAACAAGTTGCTCAATAATCTGGACATAACTATAATCTATTATAACCTAACATATTGTACAGAAGGGAAAGAGATTGTTATTAATGGAGTTTAATTAGCAAAGATACCCTATTATGTCGACCTCCAAGCGGTTCCCTGTGGATACTATCGAAGTTAACTATTATTACTAAATTTGTCATAATGGGCAGTTGACCCATGTCTGCTTCATCCTTATCAATCTTCCACCACTGGTGCTTTACCAGCATATATCGATAACGCAGTCAGATTTCATTTACCATTATCATCCATAAAAAAAGAACATATATATATAGGAATAACTTTATCCTCCTTATTTCAGCAATCGGAAATAAATGGAGAGAAGGACTTAAATCTCAGTCAGCAAATTTTTATTTTGAACTAAATATTAAATTTAAACTTGAATTACAATTATTAACTTTATTAGTAGTAGGCCAATATTTGAATACCTTAATTCTCTGCAAATCCAATAAGAAGTCGTGGAAAACCTCATATGTGATGAAGATATAATTACGATTGGTTGCATAAGATACTCCTTGGCCAGCAACCGTGGGAAGTAGAAGCAGTTGGAGAAGGGCTTTACCCATCAATAAAACACTATGAGCTATGACTGACTAATAATTATTAAAATAAAGAAACATTAAAGCATGTTACAATTGAGAGCAATGTTCCCAAACATAAATTTTAACGTGCCGCAGTTAACTCTAATGGTCGTAGAAACAGCAAAACATTTCCCATAAATTGCACCCATTAAGTATAATGTCCAGCGGCTACATTTGCACATTGTTTGGATCCTAATATATTGTTATACAGATTTCTAATAACCGCCATAACCTTTCATATCTGTGCATTACTTTAATCTTATAATATTATTCTGATGACAAGTTGCTTTCAAGAGAGCTGTTTAATTTGCTATTGAAAATTCTAATGCATTGAAAGCTATTGACAATTTTGTTATGGCAAATTTAAAATTTGATGTTCAGGAATAGAAAGTAAAAGTAAATGTAGTAATCGTAGGAAATGTAGTGTTTAGACAGATAGAAAGTAATAATACAAAAGGTTATTCTTCCGGTCAATTAAGTATAGGTCACGATGATTTTATTGCTCGCTCCGATGACAGATATGTTATGCGCAAATGATTAAAAGTTACAAGATAAAATTTAAAGTGAATTATGTATTTTGATTTTGGTTCTATTGTTTTCACATACAAATTGTCTGTATAATACCATTGTAAAATTTTATATATTTACATTTTAAAATAATTTACAGACGAAATCTGATTCTGATTGATGATGATAAAGTGAATTTAGTATAAGAAATGGATTAGCTGAAAAAGGTTCCTGACAACCTGAAGAAAGATATAGGTACTTATTTCATAATGTAACATAACACTGATTCTATGCAAGGTACTAGATATTACACGAATTCATATTTAAAAACGAATACCTCGCATCTCATATCTATTAATAGGATATTACAGAAGTTAAACGTCATGAAATAATTTACGTGCGATATGGAATGTGAAAAAAAAAGTCATAGCTTTCGAATAAATACAATCTCTTGCAAACATTAAAATATTAAATCCTCTATCGGCAGACTGACTTATTATGGTCATGTAAGGAGTTTGTTCCTAGCTTAAAATGAAAGTTTTCTGTTGTTTCAGTTGTCTTTACAGCAAAATTACACTTGCCAATATCTTAAAAAAAAATAGTATTCCAAATTATGTTATTGATTTTTATTTCAAATTGAACTTTCTAATTTTTTATTTAAGGTTTATTTTCTATTAAAAAAAAAGACAATGTATTAGTATATATTTTTTTAAAGTCGTCTAATAGTATTCACTTTCATGAATGACACTGCTATAGCGTCTCTCTTAAAAAAATATAATTACCATTTGGAAGCTTATCATTTGGGAGTAATTTATAAAAAAAAAATACATATTTATTGTTCGTTTTATTGAGTATTAAAAAAATTAAGTTACAATTTAGTAGGCATAATTATCTAGTCAAATGAACGTGCACTTATTCTAATATTTCCTATGTATGTAGTTCTAACCAATTATTTACTATCGAAAATAAACGCGAAGTATTTTTCAATTACATTATGATACTTGTGAAGGAAATATTAACTTATCACGCGATTTCCTTTATCTAGCACTACAACAGTATATTCCTGTTTCCTGAAATTATTTATGACTGATAAATTTTCCACATTTCAGATTTCTTTGAAATCATCACATACTTTCATTTGATCTCTAACAATTATTACACTATGTAATTTCACGCAATTTAACTCGATTTATCTAGCGTGTTTGTTATCTTTTTAATATAACAATACGTTATCATCACAACTACATAATTGTTTATTATTTACATAGCAAAATTGAATATTTTTTACATTCTCTAATGAATATTCAAATACGAGTACATAATCAGAAATGATAATTAATCTTTCTAGAATAGAATAATTAAGTATAATATTATTTACAGGAAAAAAAAATAATATTCTAAAATAACTTAAAAATTACAAACAAATATAGACTCTAATACTAACGAGAATGACAGTGTTTTGGAAATGATTTTAACGTGTTTCGGATTAAATTTTCCAGGTAGAGGAAAGATGAAGAAAATGATGGGAATGATGATGATGGGAGCCAGTATGAAGTTAGCGGCAATGATTCCGTTGGCTATTGCGGGACTCTTCGCTTTAGCCGGAAAAGCTTTAATAATAGCTAAGGTATTTATTTTTCATATTTATTTTATAATTATTATTATTATTCTCTTCTTAACATTAATTTACTTAAGGTGTAAGTAATATATAGCAATATCTATATATTGTAGATACAATACCTATATATTGACTTATTAACGCATATAATATATATCGGTTACCCAAGATATAATGTAGAAATAAAGAAGTCAATTGAATTAAATATAGATATCAGGCTGGTATAAGTGATATCGAAATAGGTAATGACTTTTACCCGTCATCAATGTTTAGAGGAAATCAATATTTATGAAGAGTAATATAGATGTTATCCATGACTTATTTGCTTAAACTGTTACAAAACATTTGATTTTATACTGATATTTAATCATCATACACGTCAAGTAATTCCTATTAGTTACTCTAATCTTAAAACAAAGAGTTTTAAAAACTTTTGGGACAAAGTTCTACTTATTCATAATGAGAACTCAATTCGTTTGTACTAAAAATACAACAATTTTATTTTACTTCCAAATAAATTATAATCATTATTAACAAAAATGACACGAAATTTACATTCAAAAACTTCATTATTACCTTCGCTTTCACGAGATAATTGTAGACACATGAATTCACATGTCCAAATTAACTTTAAACATAGAAATTTGTTGGCTCATAAATGATTGGAACATTGTTGTAATTACACATTGAAAATAAAGAGAAAACCATCTATTAGACATATTAATCGTGAGTAATTTAATTGATATTGTAGTATATTTCATCTATTGTTAAGTATACTTGTACATGGCAAAGATACGTGGGAATATTTCTGTGTTGTGACGTATCGGTGTACAGAATATTTTACTGTGAGAGTGTTCCTTTTTGATTTGTGCCAAGATTATTGTCATGTTCCACATTTTCTTTGTTGTTGAGGTGAAATTCTAGCCCTAAGCCTTCACTAATACATTCTAAACCTTGATCTAGATTTTATTTAGTACACTGACAGAATATACTAGACGTCAAATAACTTTGACGGTCATGTTTTCCCTTTGTTTGTTACTATTAGAAATTTCAAAATCTACTTAGATATTCTTAGATACACATTGCAGTAGGACTTACTGCTATTTAGCTTTCAAAGGTGTTCGCATGGATATTTGTTACTCGTGTACGTAAAAACTTTTAAATAGATTTCAATGAAATTTAGTATACCTGAAATTTTATATTTTATATATATATATATATATATATATATCTAATAAGTTATAAAATAATAATAAACTTGGCGTGTGTGAGCGGCTCAACCAATCGTCATGAAATTTGAGATACACGTATTTGGGGTGAAGAAGAAAAGGTTTTTATCGATCAATCACCATATTCCGGTTACGCGAACGTAACAGGCAACGAACTAATAGTGAAAGAATATAATATATGATATAAATTAGGATACGAATGCAAATTATTCACAATAGAAACTGCCCACCCATTTGCAGTCACTTCTCTATTAATCAAAACATTCTCTCTGACAGATTTGACACTTGACCTTTCTAACAAGTGATTCTTGATAACTCCCATACAACTTTCTTTTTTTTTTGTTTCCCTAATCTTCTACAATCATCCGTGAGAGTTATTCACTGCGCGATTTGTGTTGGCATAGATAATCTTTTTGTTTTTTTTAAGGGCTCTCTGTCCTCAATGTGGTATTCGTAATGACCTTAAATTTTTAACATAAATATACACGTATGAGTCACTATGAAATTGATGTAGTATATGGTATTTATGATGAAATATTAACTTAAACAAATGCCTTCATTATCAACTATCAACATTATTTAATTTTTTTTTTATGGATATTTTTAATTTAGTTCACTTTTTTTTTAATTGAATAGGCCTCATATTGTTACACGACGTATATTAATTAATTATATTTATGATAATACAAAAAATACTTATTTAATACTTAGTTTATTAAAGTATTTATTTAGTTAATTTCAAAATTGCGCGTTATTTGCACATTTTGAATTCACAATCAGGACTTAACGTGTTACCACTTGGTGCAGTCCACATCGAAACATCAGCAATAAAATATCGGATATATTGGTACTATTTACCTGTAATCGCGTCGCGTTATATCCCGATTATAATTTTTATACGCCATGTTTGGCAGGCGTATCGGCAACCAGAGTTATTCTTTTGCTGATAGGGTCGGGACAGTATTGGGGTAAAAAATATTTTAAGCTACTTCAATTTATTTTTATTCAATCACAGAGAATTAACAATGTTATATTAATTGATACGGTACAATAATGTTTGATCCAAGTTTGCTCTTCAAAAATATGCATATACAGCATGATCTAAGTTTAACGACATATTTTGAACATTGATGTTGTTGTTTTATTAATAGATAACAATTTGTTGTCTTTCAATAAGTTCTTTGAGGAATCTGGTACCTATAAATATAAATAGGATCTCAATAAATGTTTATAATACTCAAGGCCACTTAGAGCTTGCGGCATAGATTGAAAATAACACGTTGGTGAAGCCGCGAGAAGTTTAGAGCTAAACGTAAACTGTGGTTACAGACAAAGTAATGTTAGCATGTAAAGAGCAAAATATAAAAAATAGAAATATTGGAATTTTGTTTAAATCAAGTGTTTCAGTTTACCCACTACATTATAATAAAGGGCATTTCAAAAGACGTACCTACAAATATTTAAAAGGCCGGTACGCATAAGCAACTCCTCTAGTGTTGCAGATTTTCGTGGGCAACGGCAGCCGCTTTATATCTGGTGGAACGACTGCTCGTTTGCCTACCTAAAATAAAAAATAAAACAAGTTAGAATGGCAAACAAGATAACGGCCCACCTGATGAGAAGTGATAAGTAATATACCTATTGATTCACAGTAAAGTTTTTGCGTTAAGATTAAATAGTGGCTTGTCTAAGCTATTATTGTATAATTGTTATGAATTATTCACTGAGAATGGTAGATAACGAATTATCGCGAGCACAGTTAGAGGATAAAGTGGTTATTACTGCGACTGGGAGTTTTGTTTTCAATTCCCAAACCTCCTCGGGGATACGAATGTGTGCTGTCGGACTCCTACCATCTATTCCGGTGTTCCGGTAAACACCGGTTTTGTCAAAGTTACGGTTTTATTTTCTCATGATTCTTTCAGAAACTCCTTCCCTCTCCCCCTCTTCATAAAACCTACCGTTGTAACCTCATCACGTTAAAAGGTAGTTCCTTTTACCTTTTACTTACCTACTACTAATAAAAACCTTAAAATGATCCATGATCTGTTATGCAATTACAACTTGAATACTCTCTGAACCTATATGACAATAAATTGAAAAGTTACCTTTTTTTATTAGTATGAAAGGATAAATATTTTTCTAATTAACATTATGTAATTCTGTATCAATATTTTTTATTTCTATAAGTATTTAATACGTTATGGAAAAGGATGTGCAAATACAAGAATAAAAAGGCATCACTTGGCTTATCACAGTTACTAGAAGAAGCGGCATTGTCTGTTAGTAACCGCGAGAATGTCTGTTAGTTTCCAGCGAAAATTTCCAAAATGTTTTCTAGTATACGGATAAAGGAGATGTATGTGTTAAAATAACAAAGCCTATAGATTTTGTGAATTAGTTTTTTTTTTATATATTAAAGAAAAAAATAAAAACTAAGAAAGACAACGTAATAGTAAGATCAAAAAAGTTAGGTTAGCAGAAAAAATAGCGAGTTAATAATATTTACAAATAAAACTTTTAAAATAATTCAAGTCATTTATACTGACGTTACTTTTACTTAGCGATATAGGTACCATCATAAACAAGTACAGTTCTATTTTATTTCTAGAACGGTTGAGACACGATCTAGGCGTTTAACCCTGACTTTCCGTATATTTGAAATTAACTGTTATTCGACTTAAGATGGAACATATAGGTAACATAAAAGATATTTCACATATACTATAGGCATTATACAATATTTTAAGATATTAAACTATACCCAAAGATTACTGTTTAAATTTATTTATTTATTTTTAATGCATAATATAGAGTTGTTACCGTGGTCTTATGAAGAGTAACATAAACCCTGTTTGGGTTGAGCAAAATTTAGTTCCTAAATAGTTTACATATGTGCATCAATGTCCATTGAAATGTTAGGTTATATTTAATTGCTTTAATATATATTTTTCTATTAAAAGGGTCCCGTGACTGATCACGATCTCGCCTGATGAATAGCGTAGATGTAGTCTAAGATGGGACTCGCGGGTTTACAAATAGTTAAATAGTTACAAATATATTGGTCTTTTATAATGTTTGTGGTATATATTTAAATAAATTTTGATTGGAATTAAATAAGAAACATGAATAGTCTAGCAGGTATCTATTGTAGAAGTCTAAAAAGCTTCCTTCCAATTAAAAAACATTAATAAAACATATTGAATAACCCTTGTCAAAAATTAAGTATTGAGTAAGGCAATATTTTTTTCTAATTACACAAAAATAACAATTTATAGTTATTTATTTCGACTTTGCTCACGTTTTAAATTCGGAAATACAATATAATATGACTTGTAGTAGTCAATAAAAGTAGTATTATTCAATATTATGGACTTCATTTTAAAATGTAATAAAATCAAGCCTTTAAACGTACATCTTATGAAACAATGCAGAAGAAACTTCCCTTCCGTTCATATTATAGTACAAATGTGTGCTAAATGATACTGGCATTGATTTAATCGATGACACAGTTTACATGATGGAAATCACAAACAATAATGTGAAACTAAATCATTGCTAAGTAAAGAGGAGACACGTTTTTGTTAGATCATCGGGGAGATCGTTGAACCTCATTTCTTTACAGATCAGGGTCTATAATTTGCACCATATCGTTTACTAGTGACTAGTGATCTCACCTCCCTTCATATGATTAGATAGAATTTTCCAAAAGAAGGATATGTATTATTTTTGTAAAATTCTGTGACTGTTATTCACTAATCTAACTTTATCTTTCTATAA